AAAGCTTCAGACACCTGGAAATTTGTATTTGAGAGAGCACACACACAGGTGGGCATGCACAAACACAGGTGGGCATGCACACACACAGGTGGGCATGCACACACACAGGTGGGCATGCACACACAGAGGCCTAGCAGCAGAGGAGCACAGACTCAAAGAATCCTAGACATGAAGGGAACCCTGGAGACGATCTTGTCTGAAATCCCACCCAGCAAGAGAATCTCATCAATAACATTCAGAATTTCCTTGAATATCTCCATTAATGAGGGACAGTTTTCCTAATGAGTCCATTCAACTAATTATTGGACAATTTTTATCAACATGTCTTCCACAAATTTCAAAAGCACTCTTTCTGAAAATGATTTCATTCCTGGAAACGAGAAAGCACCAAGACTTAGGGAAGGGGATTTAACACTAAGCACTGGAGAGCTTCCCTTACGGATGAGTTAGGAACGTTTGTAAGAGAGTAATACAAAGGGGCCTAATGTAAAATATAACTATAGATTGAACTTTCCAGAGCAATCCAAGTTTATCGCACTGTCTCATTCAACTCTGGAATTTTTAAAGGACAATTGAAAAGTGTTTATAGTTTGTCTTGCTTCTAAACCTGATTGAAATAATATAGCGCTCAGTTCTTTTTAGAGAGAGGTGAAATTAATTTTTTTGTAATATAAAATCTTCGGACTAGAAAAATCATCAGCTACATGCCTGTCATTGGTCACTACAGTCCTCTGTTGGGAGAGCACAGGCTATACAAAGCCAGTCCTTACTCCTATATGTCAATTTAAATCAATTTGGTTGACACTGGGAATTGTGGACCTCTGAAGTGACGTGACTTGCTGAAGTTTCTGGCAAAGGATGCCTGAACTCTAAATGGGGCCATGACAACATTTTAATAAATCAGCTGAGAAGTTTGTATTCAAATTCCACAGGGTGCAAAATACCAGCCTGCTTTCCTGAAATGCTCTTTGCACAATTTGGTTAAGCCTTCATTTTACCTGGGGCCATTACACTCAAGGAACAGGTCACTAGCTCAGGGCTGGCCAGCATTCAGCATTGTCTCTGAAGGTGGACCTTGGTTCTGCTTAGCATCCAGGCAGCTCCCCCCTTCTCTGCACACAATGCTCAGGCTCTGCCTCTGACACGGGGCACCCACCTGTGCTGAACGGGATGGAGTAGACGAAGCTCCCTGGAATCTGCTCAGCGGCTCGTCGGTACCAGAGAGGGAAATGGTCTGCATTAAAAATGTTCTCCTTGTCTCCAGCTTTCAGGAAGTCCCTTGAAATGGAAGAGAAAAAGAAGGGCATCTCACCATTCAGCAAGGTGAAGGCGGGCACAGGGCATCCCAGCAGCCGTTGTCAGGCAAAACCTGTGCTGGCTTTTAGAACTCCAGCCTGCCTTTCTCAGTACAGATGGGACCTGAGTCAACACTGTGCACACCAGACTACTCAAAAATAGCTCGTGGAGCTCTGGCACTCAGGGCTGGGGTGGGTAAAATGGTTTTCCTAGTATACCTAGTGAACTAATTAGAACAAGTGGGAAGGAGGGAAATCACTCTCAGAAACAGTGTTAAGTGGGTGAAATTAGGCCGTCTTGGGATCTTTGTGGCCTTCTTCCCTCCCCTCTCCCCTCTCCAGACAAACAGGACTGCTCATGGTCTCCTCTCTGAATCCCCAACTCCCCAGGCCCTGGGCCTCTGCCTGTGGTCCTGCCGTGTATCCAGAGGGCTACATGCATTCTCCTCCCCATTTCTTCCTCTGTAAATCACACTCACTTTCTTTCTTTATGAATTTATTTTTAATTGACAAATAATAATTGTGTACAATTTGTGGGGTACAATGTGATGATCTATGTATACTTTTTAGTAAAAGATTCAGTCAAGCTAATTAACATATCCATCACCTTGCCAACTTATTTTTTGTATGATGAGAATGTTGAAAATCTTTATTTTGGGCCAATTTTGAAATGTACAATACACTACAAAGTGCACCTCCAATGTCACCTGTCTTGAGAATCCACAGAGGCACGTGCCAGCTCTTGCCCTCCCTGGGTCCCCACAGCCTCCGTCACTCTCAGGCAGCCTGCATTTTCTTGGCCTCATCTGCATAACTGTCATGTCCCCTCCCCCAGCCTCCCACAGTCTCCGAGGACAGGAGCTTTGTTCATATTTGTGCACCCTCCACGGAGCCTTAAACATATGAAAGTCCCAGTGAGTGTATGTTGATTTGACCCATTCTAGAGAGTCACTTTTACTCTCCAGCACCCAAGTGCTTCCTCTTGGCTGATAAGGTGCAACTTAGGAGAGGAAATGATTGGCTGGCTAGTCCACACTGCAGATATCTTTCAGGAAGGGAGACCTCACTTAGACTTATAGCGACATTCAGCCTTTGGGGACAGTAGGCGATGGGTCTGGACTGCTGCACGTCTGGGTGTCTGATGTCCTGCTGCCCAGGACAGCGCTGGCACCGGGGCAGCAAGCAGGAGCCTGCAGCACTAATACCCATCGGCTCTGATGTTAATGTGAAAGGGGTGGGTTGCTGGGAAGCCCTGGAAGCCCCTGCCAACTAAGTGTCTGATGTCCTGCTGCCCAGGACAGCGCTGGCACCGGGGCAGCAAGCAGGAGCCTGCAGCACTAATACCCATTGGCTCTGATGTTAATGTGAAAGGGGTGGGTTGCTGGGAAGCCCTGGAAGCCCCTGCCAACTACTAAACAGTGATTCAGGAGGAAGCAGGAAGGAGAGACCTGATTCTACAGAATCCCAGAAAAAAAATCCTCCTGAGTGAGATGAAACCTACTTCTGGATACTAGGAGCTACCTTGGTGTAGTGTGAGGCAGAGCTGGGTGACCTTGGGCAATTAACTGAGTCTTCAAGCCCCATTTAATCATCTATAAAATGGGAATAATAACGATGCTGCACTTATCAGGATGCTGTCAGAATTACCTAGCATCATACGTGAAAGGGCTGTGTAAACTGAAAAGAGCTTCTTTTGTTCTCTGTGGTTCACAGTCTCAAACAAACATGGGGGTTCTCAAAGCCCAAGAGCTTCTTTTGTTCTCTGTGGTTCAAATGCAAGTTGTGAAGTGGTCATCTTTTAAATTCAGGGCTGCAGAGGAGACCAGTAACCACACTGTAAAGGCTAACATCACTAGATGCTGGATGAGTGGTGATACCAGAGTTCGTACTGAAGGCACAGACTACATTGTCAGTATAGGAAATGATGGCTCAGTTACAGTGACCTACTTCCAAATGCAGGTGGTAGGGAGAGGAGATGGAATTTCGGTGGAGACTGAAGAGGGCACAAGTTAATTCCGGTGTGGGAACTTTATATTATCTAGTTCTGTGCTCAGTACTTTGAGTTCTTCCTTTCATGCTTTTGTCAAAAACAAAGATCAGAACTTCTAAAAGCTTAGAAGAGTATATCCAATAACTGGAGATGTCAATGAATACCATTTGATTAGAGGGGACAGGAAGGTAAAAGACCCTGAGACAATAGATGTCAATATGCCTCCATATGAATCAATAATAGGAGTTTCTTGAAAACAGAATTAGTTTATCCATCCAGCATAGTACACATGTTGGATCACAGTAATGCCATAGAACTCAAAGTTGTAGGTATTTTTATCTTCCCAAAGTAGTTTTCCATCCACAGTTTTTTTTACTCTCTCAATAACCCAAGGAGATCATTACCCTCACTTTTCGGATGAACAGAATATAGAAAGGAGCGAGATGAGACAGGCACACATCCCAGCGTTCCTGAGTATAGTCCTGCTGTCCTTCAAATCCATCACAATGACGCAGGTACCAGATTAGCAAGCAGTCATGTTTTGTTGTTATTTTTTTTCTTTTTGCTTGTTTTAATCTCAGTACCAGCAACAGCCTTCCTCTTTGAGCATTAGAAAATCTACTCCTGTCTCTCTACACCTCTCTAGATCCTAACAGGAAAGACAATGGATATCTCAGCACCTCCAGTCCTTCCTAGAAACCTGCCCTGTAGAAAATTCTTGCTGGGGGGTGGGGGGTATAATTGCGACTGATTAAAAAGTCAAGTTGCAACTATAGTCAACTTTACACATGATAAATGTGAGCTATTGAGAACGCAAAAGTCCTGGAACAGGAATTCAAAGCCAGTCTCCCAGAACATGTAAAAATGATTGCTCTGCAATTCACCTGACTTGGTTTTGCAAGGTTATGTGGTTGGTGTTGGCCTCATCTAACGTTGGTGAGCAGTGCCGCCAAACTGGGGCTGGACAGGAGGGGAGCATCTCCTCCTTGGGCCCCTGATGGGCCAACCCCTATTTACGTGGTGGCACCCTGTGGCTTGGTTATTCACCCCCCAGGTACCCTGACGGTTCTTTGGTAACCTCTGAACTCACACACACACACCACTTACAAGCCATAATTACACTTTCTGAATCTCAGGCCCCATTTGTCCCTGGCCTAGTAATGCCTCCGGCTCAGACAAAAGTTGAGAAATATTAATGGGCTCAGAAAAGACTACACAGGCTATCTACTAGCTCTGGTGAAACACTGATTTGATGAATTGAGGGAAGTCACAGAGGCTGAGCAGAGGCTTAAACAGCATCTGGGTCCTGGACTCAGCAACTGTCTGCCTACTGTCCATCCAGGTGTCTTTGGAAGTGCAAGGAGACATTGTCAAACCCAAGTGCCAACAGATGGCTGACCCCTGGGTGTGGGGCTCTGCAACTCCTCAGGCTAAGCACAGAGGCACAGAGGTTTATTAAAACATAAACAAACAAATAAACAACAGACTTGAGGCACTGATTTTCCTATAGGCAGGAATTGCTCAGCATAGCTGCAGAACAGCTGAACACCCTGAAGCCATTAGTCAGGAGATGAACCTCCTCCCTCTGGCTGCTCCTACAGCTGCACCATCTTCCAAGTTCTGAAATGACTCACCAGAGCGGGAGAAGACTCCAGGACGGTGGACAGAAGCCAAGAAGCATGAGGAACAAAGGGTTGTGGAAGGGCCATCAGGCAGGTGAACACACATGCTGGGGCCCCCATGGTAGAACAGAGAGGAAAAACTTCAACAGGCCCAGGGTGGCCTGAATTTTGTTTCTACCGATGGTGAAATCATGAAATGAAATAAGCTTTCCTTTGAATTTCCCATTTCAGGAGCCCACTGGGCCTCTGCAGAGGAGCCCTCCTACTTACTGGTTGGTGAGCTGCTCAGCCCCAACAAACAGGTTGACTCTTGAGAGGCCTGTGCGAGTGCCGAGGAAGGCAACCTCCACGCCCTTGTCAGAATTCCTGAAATAGAACAGCAACATCAGGGGGATGCTTCTGGACAGTAAGCAGATAATGGCTTTTGCATTATAAGACTCATGGAATGTTTTGCAAAATAGCAGTTTTGAAACCTGAACTTTAAAAGAAATTATAGAAACACATGTGCGTGCACACACGCACACACACTCACATGCGCACTCACCAAGCGCAGAATGCAAACTCTTACCCCTTAACAAAAGTTTTCATGGTGATACTTGCAGGAAAAATGAAGAACTCCCTGCCAACAAAAGCAGCATAAGAAGAATGCACTTCCAACCATTTTTATCTCAAGGTTCTGGGTGCAAGTTCAGAGAGAGCAGGCTGAGAATGGGAAGGACTTTAAAGGGAACAAAATCCTTAGGGATCGCTTTTTGTGTTGATGCTACCAAGTCTACTAATGGTCCTGAGACCATCAGTGGAACCTGCCATTGGAGAAAACTAGCAACTGAGCTACTGAACCAAGTTTGCAGCATCCCTCAGCGTGGAATTCCACACAGTTGAAACAGGATCTGACTCCCACACTGTTGTAGGAGCACCAACTTATAACTTCTGCCACAGTACAGACCTTATTCTTACCACCAGCTCCAGAGGTAAGTAAAGAAATGGCTTCTTCAAAGAGTCCTGTAGGATGCCATGCATGGGAAGTCTAAGAATGGCCTCAGCAAGAGAAAATAATTTGAAAATTCACCAAAGATAATTTTGTTTCAGTTTCCAAGGCAAATTTTATACATTTGAGCATGTTCTTCAGGAGATTTGCAATACATTTTTCTCCTTTGAAATAAAGCAAATGGCCTTTTTCCACACACATATTTTTATCCTACAATAAAAGTATGAAGAAAATGGTAATTCTTAAGTTTGCTTCTCTCCTAGATGCTGGTAGTGATTGCATCTGAAGCATTACCCACGTCACCTTCCATATAAGATCACTTGGCTACTTGATCGTTGATGGTAGTCAAAGTGGTCAATACTACCTTTAAGTATTTAAGGGGTAAATAAAAACCAATACTACACATTTGTTTCTGCTTGGAGCCTACACCCAGTTGGAAAGCCAGTCTATCCAATCAGTTACAGATGTGGACTACAAAGCCAGGTACCATTTTGGAAATCTTTAGCATGTGTTAGGAATGAATCAAGCAGTCTTTGCCCCCAAATTTGAGTTTTGTGAAAACCTTAAAGAAATATTTCACATCCACTGGAGAAAGAAACCACAGGAAAAGCTTTGATTCTTTCCCACCCTCCCAGGGAATAAGATCCATGTAGGTGAACAATCCAAGGACACCCCCAAATATAACAAAAATGCCAGTCTCTCTTTTGATCCCCAGCCTCATATTAAACTGCTTACCTGACATCTCCTCTTGGGAGACTCACAGCCATTTTAAGCCTACAGTGTATAGAAGGACTCTGGCCATGCCCAGCCCCAAATCTAGCACTATTTCAGTGTCTCCTGTCCTAGCCAACAGCACCATCCACTCAAGTGCTCATGATGTAAGTCTGGGAATGATCCCTGGCAACTCAGCCTCCCTATCCTCACACAACAAGTCCTGGAGGCCTTACTTCTGAAGCAGGTCACAAGGAGACCTCTTCTCTCTGTGCCCTCTGCCCTGGTCTGAGCAGTAAAGCCCTGGGAAGGCTGCAGGAGCCTGTACTACTGTTCTCACCCCATTACACTCTGTTCTCCGCACAACAGCAGAGAGATCTTTTTTTACAATGCAAATCTGATCATGTCAGTCCCTTTCTTAAAACCCTTCAATGATTTTCCAATACTCTAAGTACAAATTCCAAAATCCTTAACCTGACTCCCAAGGTCCTGAACGACAGCCCCTCTGCAGCCTCATCTTCTGACATCTTCCAGCCTACCCTCTATATTTCAGCTATGTTGACCTGCTTTAAATTCTTTGAATGTGTCAAATACTTTCTTGCCTCAGGGCCTTTGCACATGCTGTTCCATCTTCCTGAAATGTGCCCTGATGCTTGAACTAATTCTTGTCATCCCCCTGTATTCTAGGTCTTGTTACAGTTTATGCATCTTTACTTTTTGCTCAAAACAGTTACTATGATTCTTAATAATACAGCACAATATATATCACAGGTAGCATGATGGCAAGGACTCCATCTGTTTGGGTTACCTTCATTTCGCCAACACCTAGCTCAGTGTCTGGCACAGAACGGACATACAGTCAATACTTGATGAATGAATGAATGAGAATAAGGACAGAATGAATGATAGATGGGATAGAAGGGAAGATAGGAGAAGGAGCTAATGAAGAACAGAAGAGGGGAGAGAACTGAACAATGTATTACATGAAGATATCGGAAAAAAAGGAATGACTTTTCTTCTTATTTTTAATCTTGAATAGCCTACTTAAAATATCAGTAAAAATAATAATATCAATGATACAATAATAAACCACGAAAGCTGTTCGTGCCCTAGTCTTTGACATCAACTACCAATGCCTCCCCCCACCCCCTCTATCCTCCACTTCAGAACTAAAACCGCAGGGCTACATCTGACACCCACTGAAAGAGAGCTCTCACTTCCCTGTCCTTCTCCTAGCCTGACCTGGCCCAGATCCCAAGTTCCTCCAGACTGTGAAATGGAGGAGCTGTGGCAAGGCAGGAAGAAAATGCGCCTCCCACCTCCCTCTCTCTCGGAAGTGTCACCCTACCTCCGCATACCGAATTTCATGTAATATTCAAACTCAAACAAATTACATGTCAAACCCAGGAGCTTGCCATCCAAGCCCGAGCTGCTAATCTGCTCTAGCTCTTGTGGTTTGGAGCTTTGGGGAAAATTAAAGAACTTTAACACCAGGCTCCTAAAACAGTTTAGTTTTTTAAACCATAACCATATTTTGGAGGGTTGGTGAGGAAATGGCCATGAAAGGGAGACACGTGCAACCACTTACTCAGATTTGTTGAGGGCCAGGCTGGTCCAATATGCCTCAATGGGGGCACTCACCACAGCGTCAAAAAGGACTTCTTGGATCAATTCCTTATCACCTGTTGGGAGGGACAGATGAGATGACGGCTTTGGCCAGGCCCCAAAGAGGGGCACAAGAGGTGCTCACTGGGCTCATTTTGTAGCATCTGCAGGCTACTTCCTCACGTGGTGTGTTGCTTTATGAGTTAACCTTTCACCAGCCAAAAATATGGAACAGTTCAGACACGTGGTATGCCAGTAATACAGGGGGGCCTAACACATGTAGACTAGATGATAGTAAATGGAGAGGCTTGGGTGTCTCACGCTTCAGTTTTCTGCTTTCTCTTCCCATCTCATAGTTCACGCCACGGACCAGCATGCTGGCTCCCAGATTTGGAGACTAGAAGCCAGTACCCCGTGGAAAATAGGCTCTTGTCATCCTTATCTCTGCCCTCTACTAAAACATGCAATTCATCAGTGCCCTGATCTCAGTGGGTTGTAAGATAGGAAAGGGATAGCGTAACTTAATGACTACGGGGACTCTCGTTTTGTGATTCCTCCCATTTAGATTTATTTTTCATTTTAAAGGGGGATATCTGTCTCTATCCAAAGAGACTCTTGATAGGGCTCTGTGAAAAGAGGCCACGGAATGGGGAGCTATCATGACCTAGGAGAAGGATCCTAGAGCTCTGCATTCACTTGCAGGGGAAGTCAACTAAGTATTACACAGCAGGCCAGTCTTCTCCTTGGCTGGGGGCAAAAGAGACAATGAAGCTTTGTTGAAAAGCAAAAACTGGAAACAACTCATCATTGAAAAGACAATGGGTAAATTGAGATATAGTTATGTAATTAAATTCTCTATGGTAATTCAAACAAATGCATTAGAGAGCTAAACCATTAATACAAATAAATTTCAAAAATATAATGAGTGAAACTCTGTTGGTAGAACTGTAAATTAGTACAACCACTATGGAAAACAGTACAGAGGTTTCTCAAACAACTACAGATAGTTGCAGGGTACAAAAAAAAGTTTCAGGGTACAAAATCAATAATCAAAAGTTAATAGTGTATTTTAAACAAACAACAAACTCTTTGAAGTAAAAAGACAATCCCGTTTACAATAAGAACAAAAAGGATAAAATACTCAATCCAAGAGGGAAAAGACTAGTAAACTGAAAATCATAAATCATTTTAAAAAGGAATTAGAGATGACACAAATAAATGGAAGGATATCTTGTGTTCATGGATTGGAAGAATGAATTTTGATAAAGTGTTCATACCACCTAGTGAAATGCAGGTTTAACGCAATTACTATCCAAAATCCATGGCATTCTATAAAAAAAGATGGGAATTATCATGTCGAAAAGATACCTGCACTCCCACGTTCATCACAGCTCTGTTTACAATAGTCAAGATATGGAACCAACCTAAATATCCATCGATGCATGATTGGATAAGGAAACTGTGGTATATATTCACCATAGAATACTACTCTGCCATAAGAAAGAATGAAATACTCCCATTTGCAACAACATGGATGAACCTGGAGAAACTTATGTTCAGTGAAACAAGCAAAGCACAGAGGGATAAATACTGCATGTGCTCACTCGTATGTGGGAGCTGAGAGAGAAAGGAAGGAAGGAAAGACCACAGTATTGCTGTTGTCTAACAGAGAGAGGGAATATTCCCAGGGCTACAAACTGGAATAGAGGGGGATGGAGGAGAGGGAGGGAGGTTGGGGGATAATTGGGTGGGGAACATGGGGTACAAAAGTAATTTCTAGTAATGGGTATGCACCCCAATGCATTTGTCTTATAGAGGGAGGGAACATTCCTAGGACTACAAAGTGGAGTGGGGGAGAAGGGGGAGGGGGAAGAAGGTTGTGTGACAATTGGATGGGGACACAGTGTACAAAAGTAATTTCTGGTAGTGGTTATGCCCCCAGTGTGAATCTGGCCCTCACATTATGGGCACGGGGGTTGACAATTAGCTTTGTATTTCATGAATATTCATAATAAATAAATAAGGAGTGAAACATAAGTTATAGCACATATATGTGTTGTACAGTCATGTGCTGTTTAACAAAAAGGGTACGTTCTGAGAAATGCATCATTAGGTGATTACAACATTGTGCAAACATCAGAGTATAATTATACACACCAAGGTGGTACAGCCTGCTACACCTATGCTGCATGGTATAGCCTGTTGCTCCTAGGCTACCAACCTGTACAGCATATTACTGAACTGAATACTTCAGGCAATTGTAACACAATTGTGAATATGTGTGTATCTAAATCTATCTAAACATAGAAAAGGTACAGTAAAACTACAGTACAAAAGATAAAAAAATTATATGCCTACGTAGAGCACTAACCATGCACGGAGCTTGCAGGACTGGAAGTTGCTCTGGGTGAGTCACTGAGTGGGTGGTGACTGAATGTGAAGGCCTAGGACATCACTGCACACTGCTGTAGACTTTATAAATGCTGTACACTTAGGCCGCACTAAATTTATTAAAAAATACCCTACGACGTTACAATGGCTACAACATCAATAAGTGACAGGAATTTTTCAGTTCCATTATAATCTTATGGGACTACTGCTGTATGTGCAGTCTGTTGTTGACTGAAACATCATTATGTGATGCATGACTGTCCGTATTATATGTATTATAGCATTATATGCAGTAATTATAATATTATACATGCAAGTTAAATATACAAAATAGTGAAAATAATGTTACATTGTTTATGGAGAGCTACATATGTAATAACAGCATACGATGCATGAGCACGGTGACAAATTTAGGATGGTCATTTGGGGAGGGAAATGGAACTGGGCAGTGGCACACAGGGGCTTTATCACTATCTATCATGTTTCATTCCTTAAAGGAATGATATAAACATGGCAAAATATCAAGATTTGATCAAGCTGGATGGTGACTATAAATGCATTTTTCATATTGTCTCTAAATTTTGTTTTTTATATGTCATTTAAAAAGTCAAAGAAAATGAACAATTGGGTTCAAATGATGCCCATCTGATCCTTTCCCTACCACAGCATATCCAGCATATTCCATGAGGATGTTGTTTAGTAGCTGGATCATCTCCTATACCTCTCATAGGATTGCTGTGGTTATTGCATCAGATAACACATGCAAAGCTCTTTTCACATCACTGTGGCCCTTGATCAAGGTGGGGGCAGGTGCCATGCTCAGTTTTGCTGAGTCTCCCCTGGCCCACGCTTTAGCTACCGGCACTAGCCTGTGGTAGAGTAGCGTCTGCTCCTGCCCGTGGTGAGCTTCCAGGTCTGTTGCTCTCTCCTGCCTCTTTTGCACCAGCCATTGGCCACTTCTCACTCACTGAGCTCCTCCAGAGGCCACTTGGTAGGTAGGAGGAGAGGCAGTAGAACATACACTGCCACGACAGGCAACACATCCCGGGGATGATCCCACTCTTGGGAGAACCAGGATACCTAGATTATGGCCTCAGATGAGACAAGTCCTATTTCCAGCCTCAGTTTCTCACTTGTAAAATAGGGGAACTGGAGGAGCAAATATCTACAGTTCCTTTCTAGATGTAGTATCTCCTATTTAGTTGCTGGGGTTTGGTAGGGGGACAAATCCAATAGGTTAAAGTGGAATTATGGTTTCTGTACAATTTTCAATAACCCACATTCCTTCTCCTATTCCTACAGGGAGCAGATATTTCGCTGGATTTCACTCAATTGATAGTCTCTGCCAAAGCAAAGCTTCCCTTGAAAACTGAGGTGAAAATGGTTTTGTGTTCAGTCCCCACCATCACCACATGCATGCACAACATGCTTTGAAGGCACACTCACATTGGAGCAAAGGCTCTTTTCCTTTGAGGTAGAGCTTAATAGCTTCTAATTGAGACAGATGGCGATGCTCAGGGTGCAGGTCAGTGTTGCAGTAGGACCTAAGAACATGACATGGCCCGAAACAAGAGCATGTAAATAATTACAGCATCTCCTTCCTTTGCCTTTGAACCAGAAAAACTGGGCAAGGGAGCAAAAAAAACTTGAAACCAAAGGGGGCAAAAAATACAAATGCCAATGAAGGATTGTTTAATTCTTACCATTCATCTGCCAAGGACACATCAGGGTGCTCTAAGTCATGCAGGCCTGGAGGTCAAGGAGAAGGGTTAATGAGTGAGTGCTGCCTCTCCATCCTCCCGTGTGCTTCAAATATTCTAGGGCAGGGCTGGAGAGAAGAGGGGATTTAGGGGTAGATATCACCCCCAAAGAGAGCTGCCTGGGAACAGGAACTCTGAACGAAGGAAACAAGCTCTCTTCCTGGGCAGAACTCTGTCCCCGTCTCCACTGAACTCAGCCAGCACCACTACCTTCCCTGGCTGTATATTCCATGAAAGCCTTATTCCCTTAAAGATAAAGGATACACCAGTGAGTCCTGGGAGAGAAGCTTAACAAGATGGTTAGAAACACTGGCTCTGGAGCCCCAAATAGTCCAGGCTGGGAATTGGATTAGGTCTCTTAACTCCTGTGTGATGTTAGCAGGTTACTTTGATTTCTAAATGTCAGTTTCTTCATGTGCAAAACAGGAATAATAAATAGTCCCTAACTGATGGATGGTTATGAGGATGAAATTATAGGTTGAACAATATGAAATGGTCAATACTCAACTGTTTTTGACCAGCAAAAATTGCTAATTGTTACAGGATCCTAAGTAAAAACGAGTCATCCATCTAGGAAGGCGGCTAGGGGAGCTGGGGCTTTCAGGGAATCTAGGAGTTTTAATAGAATGCTCTGTATCACCCTAACTCTACGAAATCACTCTCACTTTCTTGTGTCTTCGTGTCACTTGATTTCGATGGGCTATCAGCACACACACACTTCTGGGTGGTGACCTCAGGAACTCCCATGATGCTGAGAGCCTGTTTTAGGAAGTCAGTTTCCCAAAAGACCAAGAATCTCATACTGCACTCAGGACTCCAGTTTTCTCCTCACATAAAAATGTACAAAATAAGGGCTGACCCCATGGCGCACTCAGGGGAGTGCAGTGCTGGGAGCGCAGCAACGCTCCCGCCGCGGGTTCGGATCCTATATAGGAATGGCCGGTGCGCTCACTGGCTGAGCACGGTGCGGGTGACACCAAGCCAAGGGTTGCGATCCCCTTACCGGTCACAAAAAAGATAAAAAAAAAAATGTATAAAATAAATAGCAAAAATACTAGGCCTATCACACAATCCTGCTTGATTTTATAGGAAGTGGGGAATAAATTAGATTGGACATCATCATATATGACCCAAGTGGCTACATCCAGGTGCCAACACCTACTGGTTGAATGACCTTGGGAACATCATGCCAACTCTTTGAGTTACATAAAGGTAATAAGGCATAGCTCACAAACTCCACAAGATGGTTGAGTGGGATGGTGATTGGTCTTTAGGACAATCCATCTGTCCGTGCCTCTATGCATCTTATTTCCCTTCCTCTTTTCCCTCCTCTCTCCCTCACTTCCTTCTATACTTTCACTGAGCAGCTGCTATATGGCAGGTACTATCCCAGGCCCTGAGAATATAGCAGTGAACAACAACAACAAAATTTCCAGTGGCAAAAGAGAAGTAACTAAATAAAACTAAAATACATAGCATATCAGTTGGAGGGCTGTGAAGGAAGAGAGAATATGAGGAGGATAACAAAGACAGGGAAGGCCAAGAGAGGGGAAGCCTTGGGAGACAGAGAGCATTTCCATTCTAACTATGGTGGCCAGCAAAGGCTTCACTGAGAAAGTGACTTTTAAGCAAAGACCTGAAGAAGGCAAATTAGAGAGTCATGTAGATAATGGTGCTCATGGCAGAAGGAGTAGCAAGTGCAAAGGCCCTGAGGTGGGACTGTATCCTACCAGAACTTTTGGTTAAGGATGTCAATTCTACCTATTTCTCTAGTTTCTGCTCCAGTCACCTTCATCCACAAAGCCCACTCTGGCTATATTTCACAGGACCTATAAATGAGACCCTGATCTTTTTTATTGCTTCTTCTCTGAGTTCTTACGGCACAAAGGAAATTTAATTGTTCTCTAATTCTCTCACCTCTGATTTTGGCTCTTCTGACAAAAATACATCTATTCATGCTCAATACTGCTGTCAATAATAACATAAGCTCTAATTTATTGAACAATTGTGTACAATACGTATAAAAGATACAGATGAAAGTATTAAAGGAAATCCAGAAGAGAAACAATTTTACAAGGTAGATTTGCACCCCTTACATTTTGAGCAAAGTCTACCTGTTCACCATCTTTGTAATATCTGGTAATGGCAATGCATGTGGAAAATTCCTGCGTTCTGCAGGGAAGCATTCCTTATTAAAGATCCTATAGAAGTGTGGTTTTCATCCCCAAGGAACTCCTTCCTTCTCCAAGAACAGAAGAGAATAATCATCAAGCCACAGCTCTTAGAGATGACAAGACTCTCTACTAGTTAGCCCAAGGGAAAGCAGCTTTGCTAGGCTCTATTACTCAGCAAAGTTGGCAGGATTGTAAGTCCTTTTATTTACAGAGGACCAACACAGAGAGGAAGAGCTGACCTCATTTGTGTGGATAACCAGGCACTCTCCCCCTTGCTGAGGATTCAAACTAATTTCTTGCATGGTGGTTACGGTTAGCTCTGAAATTCTCTCTATGTGGCCATTTAGCCTAACAGCTGTGGAACATACAAGAAGAAGATAGTGCCCAAAAAATGATCCAAAAGACAATGCAAAACAACTGTGTGTGTGTGTGTGTGTGTGTGTGTGTGTGTGTGTGTGTGTTAAGAGAGAGAGAGAGACAGAGAGGAAAGAGAAATGGAGGGAGGGACAGGCCCATGTGTTGAGGATCGACTAAGGGAAAGGACACATGAGAGGCAAGCGATCCATTAATAACCTCTCCTTCTATTGTTGAGAGAGGAAAGAGAAATGGAGGGAGGGACAGGCCCATGTGTTGAGGATCGACTAAGGGAAAGGACACATGAGAGGCAAGCGATCCATTAATAACCTCTCCTTCTATTGTTGTGACTGTGAGTTGTTTCCTCAGCTGTACCTCAGATGGCTTAGACATGGGTTTTCTGGTTTCATGCGCAGTGATGTCCACAGAATCACACATGGCCCATAGAACCAGAAAACTCTAGCTTTAAAGCATGGTCTCTGAGAACACATCCTGCAGGGTATCTTGCCAAAGTCACAAAGTTGCCTGTTTTCTCTCTTCTTTCTCTGGGAAGAGAGACCACACTATTAGCTCTGTGGTAGGCACACTCTGGTTCTGCCCAGTTTGCAGGTCTCTGGGAAGAGAGACCACACTATTAGCTCTGTGGTAGGCACACTCTGGTTCTGCCCAGTTCACAGTGAGCTGCTCTATCCTCCTTTCTGTTCCATAAGGTCTCACAATAATGTGTGAGACAAAAACCAACACCTGTGAGCAATGCTGGGAAAATCCACAGGAAACCAGAAGGCCATCTACAGAATGTGGCATCTCAGGGAACATCAGTCTCCTTCCCTACTTCCTGCTAGGTCATCTGAGTAAGCCAAGAGTTGTCAACCTTCTGGAAGTTCACCACATCATTGTACCCAGCTCTAACCAGCTAAAATTTGGATTGTAACTGACCTTCCCGTCCTTCACTGTCCTCCCTAGGGACAGCCAGAAAGAGCACTAGTCTGGTCCAACTCCTTCTCTGTGGTGATGCAAAACCTAATGCCCAGATTGGGTAAGTGACTGGCTCAAGGCCACTAGGATAGCAAAGCCCTCCAGAGGCCATGCCCACCCCTCCCTATGAGTTTGTGATACTGGGAAAGATAATTTTTCTGCACAGTGGGTTGTTGGGAGATGAAAAGGACAGTATGTATATGACAGCAATTTTAAAGTTTAAAGAGCTGTAACAACTGCTACTGTTTACTGAGTGTTCAATATGTCCCTATGCTTTAGGAAGACAAGAGCATGTGGGAACCTCAAGGGGCTCCTTACCCCTTCTGACCAATATGAATGATTTAAATGGTCATATTTCCCTTTGGACCAGGACTGCCATGAAACACAAGTGAAATTTGGGGCTCACTGTGTAGGAGACTAAGGCTTCCATATCTTTGTTTTCCTTTTTACCCCTGGGCTTAAGTGCATACATTTATTTGTATTTCTCCCGGTACTGATTTTTACATATGAGGAGAATATACTTGGCGAATGAGCCCTAAGAGTTGCCTCAACAACTTTGTAGATTAAAGCACATATATACAATAATAAGTTACATCATAACTAAGGCCACCACTAATTGGAACCTAGGCAACATAGGCAAGAAAGGTAACATCAAGTGGACAATTATTTGAGTTAAATGCCCAAGGGGCTGGTCACAGGTCTGGACGGACAAACAAGTTCTTCAATTAACCCAGTAGCTGGCTCCAGAGCTTTCTTCTCACACCAAAGGATAAGAGGGGCCAAGGCAGCACCTCACCTTCCTCGATGGTCACATTCCCTCGGAAGAAATACTTCCCATGGCCTCTGGACAGCGCCACACCTAAACTGTGCAGAAAAACAAAGCAGACCTTGACATCCATGGCATTGACTGGAATAGACTTGCGGGCTAACATTTTTCATTTTCCATTTCATGTACTGTAAACAATTTTTCCAACAATTTTTTTCAAAACCCCACTGATTATAGTTGGTGTTGGTTTTTCTTAGGTTCAATCAGCTGCTTCAAAGTAACTTCTGATTGGAAATGCCAGCAGCAACTGGCTGCTCTTGTGTGTTTTCCAGAGATGTGGCAAACTGCTTGTCCTTCCAGCAAGCACTTCTCTTGAATGCCCCCAAGGGCCATGTGTCCTGCTCTTTCCTAAGACCTTATACACCCCAGCCCTACATTCAGCCAGAAATAGATCTTTCCAGGACCTAGAGTTTGGGACTAGGGAAAACTGAACCCTTTTCAAGGGCAAAAACAAAAACTTCCATCACCACCCGAATGTGGCTGCATTACTGCATTGCAGGCTTCTTTGCCCAATCCTCTCCCCAGTCTAATACATTTTTCACACTCTCACTGGCTTGATTTAAGCTCTTTCTGTTTTTGCCTAAAGTAAGAGACTATGTTTTTAAAACAGGTCTCTTCATTTGGCAAACCTGTTTAGTGGCTCATGTGTTCCCTGATTGCACCTGGTTCCAAATGGAATCCACTCGTGATCCATGGCAGTATGTGACAACAATGACAGCAATTATCTTTCAGATTAATCTACAGTCAGTAAACTCTTTCCTTAGCTCTGTGAGACACCAGTTCAGGAACATGAAGCAGCCCCACTGAGATAATTTTTTATAAAACGTATTACAACACTAAGTTAATGGTAGCAGGAAACTTTAGAATGCTACATACGCATCTGAAAGCAGGCAATGAGGCAAAGCCATTTTTCAGGACTGTTACAATGGGAAACAACAGGATTCAAAGGTAGACACGTACATAAGGACAGTTCAGAGAAATTGAAACAGAAGCACAACATGTAGGGATGGAAATGCTACCGCCAGGTCTGAAGGATTGCTTTGGGTCATGGAAATAAAAGGCAAAATGGAACTCACGAGGCAGCAAGTTAGATGCTTAAGGACCCTGCTAACCCTCTGATCTTGTCTCCACCCTTAGTGGGAACCCCCAAAGCTTATGTGCTTGGTCATGAGATGCAAAGCCATGACAAGTTGAGTGAGTTCTCTTAGGTGAGCCTGAAGCATCTCCCCCCTTCTGGAAAACAAAAACAAAAGCAGCCTGGGAAAAGCCCCTTCCTCACTCTTTCCAGCCTTTCGGCAGGGTGTTTGGTTATCTCCAGATGATGGGCTCTGAGCGCGTCAGCAGGTTTTGTACAAACACAACTGATGGGTCTGATGGAATGTCCATGTATTATGGTCAGCTCTACCTGAAAGGAGTACCCTTGATGTCTGTATAATAGTAGTCATTTGTCATCACCAAAACCCGTTTCTAGATTGAAAAAAAAAAAAAAAAAGTCGTAGAGAAAAGAAAACATGGTTAGTCTGCTTGGTGCAGTTTTCAGAAATAAATAAAAATAAATGGACACACTACGATCAGGTTAACAGTACTACATGAATCTTGTTTGAGATAAGTAAAGACAAGAGAAAAATGATCTCAGTGAAAGATATTTATTCCAGATAGAGCTTTCAAAGCTAATTTTTCACAGTGGTTTGTTTTAAATTAAGCGGCAAGAATGTTTGAGAAAAATGTACCCCTTTGTCCACTGTCTTTTTCACCTCCATGGAAAACTTCCCCGTCTTCCGATTCACCATGGCGTTTCTCAACTGAAATGACAATAGAAAACCGGGGTGTTAGTTCTCCCCTGGGTTACTGTGAAATCTGGACACCTTGCATCTTTATCTTGGGAGCACTTTGGTGCCTTGTGCAAAGCAGAGATATGACAGGGATGGGTGGTTTTCGCACTGAATCTCAGGTGCCACTACAATTAAGTCCACGTTCTGCACTCAGACTTCAAAAACAGACCTTCTGAAGAATAAATGTTCGGCTGCTCTCATACAATGGGAGATGGGCTAATGACAATAACTAACTAACTTTCCAACTTTAATTTGGGGTGCTCACATAAACCTCAGGACAACAACAATAAAAAAAGCCTGTCCAATGCTGATGAATCCTGAGAGTCAGAAAATAAACTCCAGGCAATCCACTAAAACACTCAGGAAGCAAGAATGTCTCTGGGGATGAGTTACGTTTTCTAAAGGGGTACTGATTTGTCATGGAGAAATCATTTTTCAAAACAGAATCAAGTTAAAGGCATTTTCCTACACAGTAGTTAAAAAAAAAAAAGGCCAACGCAATTGGAAGACAGGATTAGCTTTTCATAGCATGAATCATCTTCAAATGCTCTCTCAGAAATGTGGGCCAATTAGTGGCCTTACTGATGGGGCAGTGAACAGGGGTGACCCTGTATCTGATTTTTGAAGGTCTTTTCTAGGAACAGTGAGCCTGGCTCTCCTCCCCCACCCCTGGCTGACCTCGTCTAATTACGTGTGGCCCTTCCATGAGTTCAGAGGAGGACAGCAGACGTGGTGATGAAAGACGTGCCGTCGTGGGCACCACCGGGAGACGACAGGGAAGGCCATTTAATGGAATAGGAGCAAATGTTGACATGCCACAGCCTGTCAGGAAAGGCTCTTTCCCAGCCCCCTGCCTTGGTTTTTTATCCTTTCCTCTTTTCTCCTTTGAGGAGCTTGAGTAAGATCTGGCTGATAGAAAACTGCAAGGCTTGCAAGCAACCTAAATTTGATTCGGGGCTGTCTAGATTTGGGTTTGCATTCCCATCTTCTGTGAGACAGAGTAAAAGCATAATTTTTAGCTCGAGGCATGTATAAAATAAAACATATATTTTACTCTAGATATTTTCTAACAACACATAATGGGCATTTCTGGAAATATTTTCCCATTTTAACTTTTGTGGTTTTGGATGGGGAGAGCTGGTCCTAATTAAGTCTACTTTCTAACTTTTAAGAACGGCTCGATTTATCTTTAACATGGTTTTCATTTTTCCTCTTTCTGGTGCCTGCCTAAAGCCATTTGGGACCTTCCCCTTTCACATTCCCCAGGCAAGTTAGAGATTAGGTAGGCCTCTCTGTGCCTCCCTGCCACCCCACCCCCAGCTCCCAGTAGCACAGAACAATCAGCATGGGGAACTGGGGGGTCCAAGGCCAGGGTCACTGATGCTTAGTCTAGTCTCACCCTTTTCTTAGATAATAATGAAAACAGGTTATCCTTCTTGAACACCTGCTTGTGAGGCAGGATAGCACTGCAGTTAAGAAAGGGACTCTGGCACCAGATCTTTATGACCTTGGGAAAATCACTCACCTTCTCTGTGCCTCAGTTTTCTCTTCTGCAAAATGGAACTAATGACAGTACCCATCTTATTCAGTCATAGTGAGGATTAGATGAGACAATACTTAGAAGAGTGTCTGATACACCCTAAGCACTCAGTACATGGTAACTGTCTGTCCCCATCGTCACTACCATCAACAGTGTCTTCATCATCTTCACCTGCACTGCCATCCACCTCACTTACTCAGGGCCAGACGCCTCCAGTAACTTCAGGAATCAGGACTCAGACTTGAGTTTGCTTGACACAGATGCCCCAGCTCTAAACCAATGTTTTTCAAACTTTCTTTGACTGTGAGCCCCATAAGAAACGTATCTTTATCTGGTGATGCCCTCTGCTTCTCCTATTTTAGTAGATTTCATTGCTTTTATTTGCTGCTCATGAACCACTAAATGGTTTTGTTACCTCTCCCCCAATTCCCCAGGTTGAAAATTGCTGCTCTTCACCACCTGTGTGTTGTATCGGACTAAGAAAGAGGCAGCCCAAGGTCAAGAGAGGTAACCCAGGATATCAAGGTTCACGTCTTGCCATTGACAAAAACCAGCTGTCCTGTGACCTCTCTGTGGCTCAATTTCTTCATCTTTCATTCATTCTGTCAGAAGTGTTCCTGAGTGAAGACTCCCAGACCCCAGGGATCCTGTCAGGTACTCTAAAAATCATGGTTAGAGGATTCTTAAGAAGCTCAGATAATACAGACAAATTCTGTTTATTGAGCTTTTATTATTTGTCAGGCTCAGGTTATAAAACTCTCAAAATTATCTCCTAAGGTACCACTATTACTATTATCCCCATGTTAGAGGTGGAGAAACTGAGGCACAGCATTACATAACTTGCCCACGATAACACTGACTCTCTACTTCTTGAGACCATGGTCTTAATCTCTGCTTCTCAAATCAGGAGAGACATCACTTGGACAAAAATATTTCATAACATTAATATAAAAATTAGTGTATTGTTATTTATGGATTTATTTCTAATCAAAGAAAAAGTTTTTTTTGTTTGTTTGTTTTGTTTTTTTTCCTTTTTGTCTTTTTTCGTGTC